CACTATTCTGTTCACTTTGTTCCTATTTCTGCCTTTATGCCATAGCCATGCTGTTGGATTATTATAGCTTTGTAGTAAATTTTGAAGACAGTAATGTCATACATCATGCTTTTGTTCTTTTTGCTCAAGATGGCTTTGGCTGTTTGGCCATTTGGGGATATTTGAAGTTTCATACAAGTTTTGGGATTTTTTTTTTCCATTTTCTGTGTAGAATGTCATTGGTGTTTTAACAGGAATGCACTGAATCTGTAGATTGCTCTGGTGCTACGGACATTTTAACAATATGGTTTCTTCCAATCCATAAACAGGATGAACTTTTGGTTTTATGTGCCTTCTACAGTTTCTTTCATCAATGTTTTGTAGTTTCATTATAGAGATCATTTACTTCTTTGATCAAATTCATTCTTAGGAATTTTATTTATTTATTGTACCTATTATAAATGAGATTGCTTTTTTGATTTCTATCTCAGATAATTGGCTGTTGGCTTATGGCAATGCTACTGATTTTGTATAGTGGTTTTGTGTCTTACAACTTTGCTAAATCCTTTTCATTCTAATAGTTTTTTGGTGGCTTCTTTGGGATTTGCTCCATAAGATCATGTCATTTACAAACAGTGGCAGTTTGACTCTTTCTTTATCTTGCCTTGTAGCTCTGGCTAGGATTTCCATGCAATGTTAAATGAAAGTGGCAAAAGTGAACCTCCTTGTCTTATTCCAGATCTTAGAGAGAAAGTGTTTAGCTTTTTTTTCAATCCAGTGTAAGGTTAGCTTCTTATGCATGGCCTCTGTTACGCTGAGAGATAATCTTCCTGCACCTGGTTTCTTCAATGATTTTATCGTGAAGAATGTTGAATTTCATTGAATGCCTTTCTGCATCTTTGAGATGGTCATAAGGCTCTATCCTTCATTCTGTTGATGTGGTGTATCATGTTTACTGATTTCTGTATGTTCAACCAGAATCCTATGTTTTTTCAAGTTATCTGGATTAAATCATACTGTTTTGTATATACCAGTTTCTTCATTATCAACTTAGATGTGTAGACTGAATGTTTTCTAATGCCTCTTAATTTTTATCAGTTAATAAAGTTTGGCCATTTAGGACATAATGTGAATAGGACTATATAATCACAGAAATTTATTTTTACTCCATTCTTGAACCTTCTAAAATTAATATAATTGAATAAAAAAGATGAATCTGTGAAGATAGAAAGGACAAGTGAGACAGCAAAAGATAAGGTCAGTAAAATTTTGGTACCTGCAAATCTGTGGTAGATGGTCACGTCTCACAATGATAAAGAACTGGGTGCCCTCAGCTTGCGGAGTGCAGCCCTAGAGCATGCTCCCTGTTTGGGGGAACCTTGCAGAGACTCAGGAACTTTAGATTTGAGTCTGTAAGGTGGATTTAGAGGACAGCACTGGAACAAGGAGTGCTGCCGGACATTTTCCCATCTCTGAAGCCAGCTGCCTGCCCTTCCACACCCTATAAAGGGCAGAGTGGGTTTCCTGAAGAGGTCGAGGAAGAGAAGTCTTCCACCCTAATAGGACAGAGGGCTTAGGTGAGATGTCAATAAAGTGCAGGGGGATGGCATCCTTAATAGCTTGCATGCGGAAGGATGGCTTCCCAGGATCTGGCAGCCAGGTAAATGCCTCCTCTCAGAAGACTGGGGGATCCCCTTCAGTGAAATGCATTATCCAGGACAGGGAAGTGTAGATACTGAATTTGAGCAGCTCTTGATGAAAAAATGGGCTTTCACCTTCACAGTGTAGTCTACCAGGTGTCAGCCCTGTGGATGACAGCAGAATCCCAGTCGGCATTTTAGAGCCTCAGTGTGTTCCACGAGAAGGAAGGAGAGGATCACCCAACATCCCAGGACAGTCCAGAAGGTACAAGGAGCCAACTCTCAATCGGGGGAGGAAGCCTTTGGAAGAAGCACATTCTGTAAATTCCAAGGCACAGAGGGGCCCTGACATTAACATCTGCAGAAAGAAAAGAAGTTCTTTTTTTTCCTGCAAAATAAAAATAAAATACCATAAAAGGAAGCAATGCCAGCAAAGTCCTACTCTTGCTTTAACATTTGATTGCAGAAATGAGAGAATCTGTAGATATATAAGAAATGGAGTCAAATCTTCCAGAAAATAAAATAGAATCAGGAAAAATAAGAGAGAAACTTAGAGATCTAACTCGGGAGGTCTAGTATCCACATAATGGAAGTGCCAGAGAGGTGAGGCAGAGGAGATGGGAAGCAAGAATAAGATGGGTGGGTGGGTGAGGACACTGCCCTCCTGACACACACCTTCTAGTAGCTCTTGACTTTATAAACTCTGTGGAGTTTAACGTTTATATAGAAGCATATTTAAATAATGAAAAATAAAAAATATTTTTATAACAATGAGGGTCTCCTTCCATTACCATGCAATTTCCCTTCTCTCTCCCTTTCCCTCCCCCCTCTCGTCCCTGTTTAATGGTGATCTAGTTCTCATGCTCTTCCTCCCTGCTCTGTCCTTAGTTACTCCCCTTATATCAAAGAGGACATTTGGCATTTGTTTTTTAGGGCTTGGCTGGCTTCACTTAGCATAATCTGCTCTAATGCCATCCATTTCCCTGCAAATGCCATGGTTTTGTCATTTTTTAGTGCTGAGTAATACTCCATTGTGTATAAATGCCACATTTTATTTTTTATCCATTCATCTATTGAAGGGCATCTGGGTTGGTTCCACAGTCTAGCTATTGTGAATTGTGCTTCTATGAACATCGATGTCACTGTATCCCTATAGTACACTCTTTTAAGGTCTTCGGGGAATAGTCCGAGAAGGGCAATAGCTGGGTCAAATGGTGGTTCCATTCCCAGCTTTCCCTGGAATCTCCATGCTGCTTTCCAAATTGGCCGCACCAATTTGCAGTCCTACCAGTAATGTACAAGTGTACCCTTTTCCCCACATCCTCGCCAGCACTTGTTGTTGTTTGACTTCAGAATGGCTGCCAATCTTACTGGAGTGAGATAGTATCTTAGGGTGGTTTTGATTTGCATTTCTCTGACTGCTAGAGATGATGAGCATTTTTTAATGTACTTGTTGATTGATTGTATGTCCTCCTCTGAGAAGTGTCTGTTCAGGTCCTTGGCCCATTTGTTGACCAGGTTATTCGTTTTCTTATTGTTTAATTTTTTGAGTTCTTTGTATACTCTGGATATTAGGCCTCTATCTGAAGTGTGAGGAAGTGAGGGGAAAGGAATAAAAAACAAGAGAGAGAAATAAACTACAGTAGATTGGGGTAGAAAGAGAAGATGGGAGGGGAGGGAAGTGGAGGGGGGATAGTAGAGGATAGGAAGGGCAGCAGGATACAACAGACACTAGTATGGCAGTATGTAAAAAGTGTATGTGTAACCGATGTGATTCTGCATTCTGTATACGGGTAAAAATGGGAGTTCATAACCCACTTTTAATCAAATGTATGAAATATATGTCAAGAGCTATGTAATGTTTTGAACAACTAATAATAAAAAAATAAATAAAAAGAACCTATAGAGTAAAATTGTATTGAGTAATTGAGTGAATAAAGCATTGAAAGGGGCAAATTTTTTTTTATGTGAAGGTTAAAATATATATATTTGAATTTTGGTTGAAAATAAAAAAAAAACTAAAAGTAGGTAAGGAAAAATAGCATTTTGATTTTTTAAAGTATTAATTAATTTCAAGAAAATTATTTCAAGTGTCATAATTAGATAAACTGGGGAACTATTTTTTAAATATTTTTAAAAAACAGCAAAACACAACAGTGGCATAGGTCATTGAAGAAGTGGCAACTGTATTTGAGTTTACAATCAAGAATCTTGCAACAGGAACAGTTTTCTCCTGATAAACAGATTGAGTTTCTATTTGGGAGCCAGAGCATTTGTGATTTACCTTGATTATAGTAAAGTATTTAAAATTTTTATGTAATTCCTAATAAAAATTATTTTATTCAAGGTATATTGAGTAAAGCTGGGTGTGGTGACTCATGCCTATAATCCTAGCAACTCTAGAGGCTGAGACAGGAGGATTGCAAGCTCATGGCCAGCCTCTTAGTGAGGCCCTAAGAAACTTAGCAAGACCCTGCCTCAAAATTAAAAAAAAATAATAATAGAATAAAAAGGGCTAGGACTGTGCCTCAGTGGTAAAGCACCCCTCAGTTAAATCCCTGGTATAATAAAAACAGTAAGTTCATTTATCATTCAGCATGTATTTATCTGCCTAGTATTGTTCTAAGGGAAATTGATTGATTCATATTGGCACACTTAATCCTCAGAACAGCCCTAGGAGGATAAGTCAGTCTTGTTGTCATTCCTATATTACCCATGAGGGAACTGACACAGACAGGTTTAGGTTACTTGCCCAGGGTTACTCAGCTGGTAAGTGGAAAAGCCAGTTTTAAGGCATAACATTTTAACCTCAGAGGTTATCCTCTTAATTTATTTCTACTCTGCTTGTTAAGTAAACTGTAGGCAACGACGTTGAATAAATTGCCCACCTTCTCATATCTATTTTGGAAGAGATTAATGGATTTTGTTGTAAAGCTTCTGTTGCCACTGAATGCCTAAGAACTCATCTAGATGCATCCACACATTGGTTGGATAACTGAATTTATATAGTGACCAGGCTAGTGCATATCACAGTGAATCTGATATCATTTTCTTCGTCTGCATTCCTACCACTGTTCATCTCTGAAAGTCAGGATAGTGATTCAGAAATTCTGGGGAATTAAGTCCATTCACAATTTATGAAATAAAGGCATCACTTAAATCGATGGACATAACTGTAAAGTTTTAAGAGATATAATTTTTCAGTACCACTTTATATGGTTTGTGGACAACATCACAGTATGATGCACATAGCAGGAAGTAAGTACTGGTTATTAATGAGTGATATGTCACATACTATATAGTGTTTCCTAATGTTCAAGTTTGGTAATTGCTTTAAGATATGAATGTTACAAATATGGTTGGTTGATTTGTTTTTCCTAGTTCAACTTTGTGGGGAAACTTTTGGGTCCTCGTGGAAATTCTCTGAAGCGTTTACAAGAAGAAACTTTGACAAAAATGTCCATCCTGGGAAAAGGCTCCATGAGAGACAAGTCAAAGGTAATGTGCATCATACACAGTGGCCACTTTCCTGGGCAGGTGTCACGGGCCTTTAGATCATCCGTCGTGTTAATACCTGGTCTGCAGTAGCTAACCAGGTGTCCCAGCTGGAACTATATGAAAATTTTATGTGGCGTAATTTGTGATGCTCTTTAGAAAGTGAAGTCACTCTGTCCAATCTAAAAATAGGTGGAATCTTAAACCTGTATTTGTAACAATGAGAATGCTTTTTTTTTTTTTTTATTCAAGAGTACTATGTCACCTTGAAGGTAGTATGATAGTACTAGAATTACCATGAAGAGAAATAAATGTTACCTGTGGTCTCTCCATCACTGCAGCTTAGACTGGTTCCTTTAGGACTTTTTCACAGTCACGTACTGCATAATGATGTTTTGTCAATGATGAACCAAACATGTGACAGTGGTCCTATGAGATTATATTCCCTAGTGATATTGTGATTGTCTTTGTGCATTTGCATAAGGAAAAAGCCTAACCATGCATTTCTAAGAATTTACCCCTGGGTTAAGTAATGCATGAGTTTAGTTAAGTATAGTTGAGTCTATAGTGTATATAGCTTTCTTTTTTTCTTTTTGACTTTTAATTGATATCCTATGTATTTTCTGAAGTTACTAAAATTGATTTGAAATGTTTCTATTATTGTTTACTATTCTAAAACATAATTGTTCTCAACAACCTAAAAGTTACTGAGTTATTTTTATTGATCGCTTTCTTAAAAATTTGAAAGGTATTTCCACAGACCATAATCTGTGCCACTTACATTGATCTCTCTTGTCACTTGTTTTCTTCTGATTAAAAGATTTATATTACCAAGAACCAAATCCACATTCCACGATCACCTACCATGAAATGTCAGGCAATGAGAGAATTAGATGTGAAAGGTTTTTAGATGAAATCCTGTCTCTTCACACACACAAAAAAAGTCCATCTAAAGTAATAGTTTTTATAATAACTACAGCCACTATGTGCTTTTTGAACAGCCACTGAGGGTCAGGCACAGCATGAGACATTTTATATATATCAGTCTTTGTTTGCTTTGGGAAAAATATAAGAAGACAACATTTTTCTTATTTCACATATAAAAAAACAAAGAGAACTCGAGTTATTATCTAGCTTAATCAGAGACATTCATTATATTATTTGCCTCTCAGGTAATAAAACCATGTTCTTCTGACTCCATTATGCCAGTTTTTCCACCACAGTAATGGAAAATGTGTCAGACCCATGGGAAAACAGTTTAATGAACTCTAGATAGAGCAAAGGGGAAAGGGGGAGAGAGGAGAAGGGAGCAGGTGTAGGAATAGGAAAGACGCTGGAATGTGATGGCCATCTTACCCTAAGTACGTGTATGAAGACACCAAGGATATGACTCTACTTTTGTGTACAGCCAAAGATATGAAAAATTGTGCTCATTATCTGTAACATGAATTGTAATGCATTCTGTTGTCATGTATAACAAATTAAAATTTAAAAAAATTAACAGTTCAAGGAAATGACCAATAGTTTGTAGATACGTTTTTTTTTTTTTTTTAGATTCATAAGGAGAGTGTTTTCACTATTGTTAAACTTCTACCTCATTAAACTTCTCAAGATTTTAGGGGAAAAAAATGTAAAGATTCCCAGACATATTTAGGGTAGAAACTAAAAAAAGAAAAAATGTTTGGAATGATCCTAATGCGTGCCTAAGCTTTCTTCACTATTCACTGGGCCTTGCTGTCCTGAATGATGGTACTGCAATTCCCCTAAATCACCTTTTGTTGCAGTAGGAGAAAATGTAACCATATTCTGGCCAGTTTATGAGAAAATGTGTATGTCTTATAGGAAAACACTCCACACTTGCTGGTACCCTGATTCAGTTCTCAGTGAGGCCGTCTGGTCATGAGTATATAACATGAGCAGTGAAGCCCATAGACCTGGGAGTCCATTGTTCCACATTTTTGTTGTTGAGGGAGATCTGTGTCAGAAGCACTATTTTGTGTGAAGTTGAGGGAGGCAAATCTTTATCTAGATTGTAGGTCCAATTTACAGTTAGTACCTGGCTATTCCCATACAATTGGGACCCTAAACATTTTCAGCTTGCTGTCAGGATTTAGCGGTCCTTTCAATTATGTTGTCATATCAAGGGCTTGTGGCTCTTCTGTGCTGTTGGCATATAGAGCACTCAGTAATGTCAGTAGCCAGTCATCCTTAAAAAGACAGTTGGTGGTGAAATAGTATATAAACACTATCCCTGTCTCTGTGGTCCCTTTGTTTATGAATACCCTGAACAGTACTGAGATGGATCGAAAGTGAAACACTTGAGCATATGCCAAGTGAGTCCTCTAGAGTGTGTGGTCACTGAGGACCAGCTCTGCATCTGCTTGGGACACCCTGTTTTTACACATTGGACCTCTTTTCCACATCACCTCTCACTCATTCGTTAATCTCTTCATTTCTGTGTTTTTGACCACATGGGTCACCAGATCAAAAGGAGGATTCCATTAGCTGATCATTCTTAACTCCATCAAGACACCCAGCAACTAGAGGAATAGCATATATTGTGGATTTACAGTCCACTCTGCCCACTGTCAATGGACCAGGACCAGAAATCCATCTGTCTCTTGACTTCACACTCCCCACTCTGACCTGTGGCCCTCGGTGAAGCAGCATTTGGTCAGACTCAGTTCTGTTAATACTCACACTGTCTATTTATTCTCATTATATACTTACTCTAGTAAAAAGTTTCAGACCCTTGTTGGGAAGACTAGGAAGAAGTGTCACTCACTAGGAGATGTGGCAGTTACTAGTACCACATCTAGTGGCTCTGGATTTAACTCAGTTATTCTTTTCTGGAACCATGGAGCAAGAGTATGGTAGGTAGGAGCTTATTGCAGGCCAGGAGGTAGTAAGGAGTAGTGGGAATGAAGCTTGGGAATGGCCCTCTCCCTTCAAGGACTGTCCCTTCTGTTCAGGCAGTGTAGGAAGAGCCTTACCAGATACGCTTCTGCTGGGTGGAGCTCTGTGGGGTCTTAGGCTTTGGATGGTCTAATCTCACAGAAGAGAAGAGACTGGTCCTCGTGTCGTCTTTCACATTACACAAGATTGGACTCTACAGTGAGGGCTCCATCAGCCTTCAGCTATGAGTACTAAGACCTTCTAAGATTTTCCTGATCTTGGAATGATAAAATAAAGCCCTGTGGTAGTCAGTTTTCCATCACTATTGCAAATACTTTAAATTATCACCTTAAAAATAGGAAAAGTTTATTTTGGGCTCACAGTTTTGGAGGTATCAGTCCATGATTGGCCCTGTTCATTTGGGCTCTGTGACCAGACACACATCATGACTAGAGGTGGTAGCAGAGAAAAACCACTCACCTCGTGGCCAGGGAAACAGAGTAGTAGGGGCTGTGTTCTCTTCTGTGCTTTAAGCATACACACAGTATCCTGAAGGTGTCCAACCAGGCCCACCTCCTGAAGGTTCCACTGCTTCTCAGTAGCTTCTCCCTGGACACTAAGTCTTGGACGCACAGGCTTTTGGGGACACTTAAGATCCAAATCATAGCAAGCCCAAGTCTCTTATTTCCTCCTTTAAACTCTTGAATACAGAAAGAAGCATCCCACTTCACTCCACCCCAGCACTTTTTCCTCTGGCCTGTCACACTCTACGGTTGCACGTTATTTCAACCTTTGAAAGCATTTCACTGAATAGGACCACAGGTGATAGCTTAAGTAACCGGTGTACTACTTAAATGGATATTACCAGTATTCCGTCTGCTGTGTTATAATGAGATATTTACTGCTTAGACTCTTCAATATTGATTTCAGTTGATCCTTTTTACTGGTTTAATTTTCATTTGCAGAAATTAAATTCACTTAATAATATGTTTATTTCTAATGAGAATCACATTACTATCAAAATCTCATTCTAAAGTATCTCATCCCTTTACATTCTCAGAGTGATCACTATTTTAAAAAGTCTAAGCAGAACTTAATTTATTTCCCTCTTTTATTTGCTACATTGATAAAAATTGTATGAGTCTCAATGGACAGGCTTCAGCTGACTGTGTAGCCTGAGAGCACAGCAGTGCTGGGGTCTGTTGGGATTCTGTCTGTGCCAAGCATCCTGCTGGATGTTCTGCCCACATCACCTGCTGTACTTCTCCATGTCCACTTACTAGAGGCTGATCTGCTAGGCAGGATTCTCAGGGTTTTTTTTTGTTTGTTTGTTTGTTTGTTTGTTTTGTGTGTGTGTGTTTGCTCCTTATTTTAACAACCCCGTGAGATAGATACTACACTATGCTTACACCCATTTAAATTCACTCCTGTAAGATGAGGATAAAGTGACTGACCAGCATCATACAGTAAATGATGTATTTGGGCTTTAAATGCAGGTCTTTACAGAGTCTGTGTTCTTCCCCAAACAATACCCTGCTTTCTGTCCACAGAACGGTCTGTGAGAACTCTTTACTGTGGGATTGAAGAATGAATATAGTTTTAAGACATCCTTTCTGTTACAGCTTGAGTGTGTGACAAAAATGAGAATATAAAACCAACAGTTATAATCTCTAATTAAATCATTTTTTGCTATCATATTAGGAAAAGATAATTTTTTTCCCCAGAAGTTTGTGCTAGAAGAAATGAACTGCAGTGGACAGAATCCAAGTTTTAAAGTTGCAGCTATGAAACAGAAGAGTTTCTGGTCAAATGTTTGGAATGTTCTGATTAAAACAACCAAGAGTTGATATAAAGGAATAGGGTCTTCATAAACTGAAGACAGATTTCCAAGGAAGTGTTTTGAATATTATGGTAGCTTATATTTATTCTCCAATTTTTCAACTTCAAATTCACTTTCCATAAAATGGGAAGGAAACTAGAATGAATGAGTGCCCACTGTATATAATGCAATGTATTAGACAGTATACATACTATCTTCTTTCTTCAGGCATTTATATAATGGTATCCCTTGTGTGCTCAATGGCTCTACATTGATGTACAAGTATTACCACCACCAAACTCATTTTGTGAATTAGGTGTTGGATTACATATAATCTGTCTAACCTCACCTAGCTGGTGACTAGGATAGCAAAGATTCAGGAGCATCTGATTAAATCTCATGTCTTTTTTCATATTCTAGTTTTCAATCCTTGTTTTCTTCATAATAATTTAAATTAGTTAAGCAAAGTTAAAACCTTAAAGGGCAGAATCAAGGAATAAAATCATGTTACTCTAGCACTTGCATCACTGGCCCTGAGCTCCTGGTGGAATTAAAAGGAACTATTGCAGAAACTCCTGGGATTCTCTTATGGGATAGATTTTTTGAAAAAGAGGATACACTAAAGAAAGACTAATGGAAGACACAGATTCTAGAAATCTGGAAGTGTAATTCTAGAATCAGGAACTGTAATAGACAGTTAGGAAAAGGTGGGTAATAGAACCAAATCAGTAGTCCCTTAAACAGCTGTTCCTCCACCTTAATATTCCTTGAACTTCATTATGTAAACGAAAATTTAAGCAAATATTCTCATAATTGTATAAAATTTTAAAAGTTTTCAAACCTTGTCTTAGTATAAAATTGCATTTCATACATTTTACTATTTTAGTCTCATGGTGCCTGGCATGGAGATGAATATGCACATGAATTCAGAATGAATGTTAATGTTTAGCCATTCACTCAGCAAACACTTGTTGAACACCTCCCGGTTCTACACACTTTTCTAGACATGAGAAATTCATTATCAGACAATCAGTCATGGTTTCCGTCCCATAGGTATCACCTTCTAGGGAGGGGAGGAAGAAAGGAATGAAGAAGCATTAAGGCTTTGAGATGCTGTGGGGCACAGAGCACAGCCAGGGTGGAAGGGAGTGGGAGTCCAGCCAGGTTGAGGAACACAAAGAAGGCCTGGGCTGGGTCCTGGGGTGGCAGGATCAGATTTGCAGTGTAATGGTTCTGTCTTGGGGACAGTGTTTGCTGTTAAGTGAATCTTCTGTGACAGCCATGTGCTGATAAGCTTTGGGAGTTTTCACCTTTTTTTCCTTTTATAATGACACATTTTTAAACCTGATATTCTTTCTTCAGGAAGAAGAATTGAGGAAAAGTGGAGAAGCAAAGTACTTCCACCTCAATGATGATCTCCACGTCCTCATTGAAGTCTTCGCCCCACCAGCAGAAGCCTATGCCCGGATGGGCCATGCCTTGGAAGAAATCAAAAAGTTCCTCATTCCTGTTAGTACAAATTTTATTGATGATTAACTGGTACTTTAAAGTTGTTTCTTTATTATAGTCCTTGATAATTCTTGCCAGTGGTTGTTATTTGCATTGCTCTTGTATCTATTAAAAAGCTTCAAACTGGTCATGTCAAGTAGGTGCCTTTGTGAATTACTTGGGATTCTCTCTTGTTTATATGTGGGCTAGGGCATTTGAGAGAACAGCACTGCTAAGTTTATATGGCTGGAGAGTGTGAAGAGCACAGCCACTAGTTCAGGGGTAACCACTCCAAGCTGTAAGCTTTTATATGACCCTGAGACCACCTCCCAAGGGCACTGTTCTCCCCAGGTCCATTGGTGCCTTCCACGACATAGCCTTGTGCTGGTGTTGGGCCTGTAAACATGAAGAAAAGTAGCCTCTGCACTCAAGGAATATGTAGTTTAGGGGAGGCAGAAACACCCACAGATAATGCCAGCACATGGCAAATATGATGACAGATGTGACCGCAGTGAGCAGATGGCAAGCACACTGTGCACATGTGTAGCTGGCTTTGGCCAGGCGTTTCCTCTCCTGTGAACAACTGGTAGTCTGTTTTAACCCTCAGACACCCTCACGTTGCTAGTAAAGTCATTCTTGAAAGAGAATACATCTCTGCCTTTGTTGCAAACGTTAATGTAAGTCTTTCATGTGATTTGTATTTCAGTGAGGAAGAGAACTTTTGTGTAATTTGCATGCTCATGATTGAAAAACAGAACAAAACAGAAAAAACCTCCACAGAACTAGAGCATTTGGCATTTTGTCTCTCCAGACCATTTATTTTGGAAAAGCTTGACACATCTGCTGAACAGTTTACTGGGTTGGACTGGGTCCTCAGTGATCCTGAGCTGGTAGATTGACTTATGCACTGAGGCGTATGAATTGTGATGATGTCATTTGTGAGGAAAAGGATTGCATTTATAGAGGAAGACTGTTTTAAGTCCTGATTGTTTTCAGAAGGCCATGATATGAAGTTCCATTATTTAATAACCTGGAACCTGAAAATGATTATTATGCCTGGTTCCCACAAGCAAATATGACAGCTTATTTCTTCATTTAGTTTATGAACAGTGCTTACTCTGTGGTAGACACATGTGAACTGATAAAGACATGATGTGATCTCTGCCCTGATAGTTTATAGTGTGATGAGAGAGAGGCATGAATCATGTGTTCATATAAATGACTGTAAAACACAACTATGGAAAGACTGTGACCTTGCTAGGAAAGAGGTGGCAGAGCTGTCTACAATAAACCTTCCATCCTATGACCTTGCAGTCTTCCACCAAGACATGGGGTCTGATTTCCCTACCGTGAATCTGGGCTGGCCAAAGTAAGTCTTTGTCTAACTCAAGATCACAAAGATTTTCTGCAGGCTTCTTCTAAATGTTTTATAGTGTTTATAGTGTTGTTTCATTTGAAACTATAGTCTCTTTTGAGTTACCTTTTTTTTGTATATTGTGGGAGGTTGTGATCTAAATTTGTGTTTTTCCATATAGATATCCAATTGTCCTAGCACCAGACAGTGTAAAGACTACCTTTTCCTTCACTGCATGGCCTTGGTACCATTATTGAAAATAAACTAAAAATAAAGTAAGGGTTTATTTCTGGAAACTCACTTCTGTTCCTTTGACTTACCCTCCCATCCTTACTGCAGCAGCCTATTCTTTCTTTTTCAGGCCTGGGGATTTAACCTAGAGGTGCTCTACTGCTGAGCTACGTTCCTAGTCCATTCTTTCCTATTTTAGTTTGAGACAGGGTCTTGCTGAGGTGCCCAGGCTGACCTCAAATTTGTGGTCTTCCTGCCTCATCCTCCTGAGCCACTGGGGATACAGGAGTGCACCACCATTCCCAGCTCTACAGTAGCTTACATTATAGTTTACTTTATACTTTTAGTAAATCTGGAATCCAGTTTGTTCTCCATCTTTTTTCTTCTGTATCAAATTTGTTTTGGATATTCTGGCTCCTTTGTATTTCCATATATAATTTAGGATCAGTTTGTCAATTTCCATAAAAAGGCGTAGTGTGATTTTAATAGAGGCTGTATTCAAACTGTAGATCAAGTTATCTTTAATTCTTCAGATTCATGAATATGAAACTTTTCTCCACATTTTTTTTAATATTGTGTTAATCAGCTTTTCCTTGTCGGGACAAGTACCTGACAAAACAACTCAGAGGAGGAAAGACTTGTTTTGGCTCGGGATTGCAGTCCTTTCTTGGCTGCCTCCAGTGCTTTGTGCCTGAGGCACGGCAGAATATCATGATGAAGGTGTGGAGCAGAGGCCAGCTGCTCACCTCTCAGTGTCCAGGGAGAGAAAGCGGCCAGCGAGGGAAACATTCTCCCAGGGCATGCTCCTGCCACCTTCCTCCTCCTGGTAGGCCCAATGGCAGTTCCAGCCACCTCCCAGTAATGCCATCAGCTAAGAAACCCTCAGTGGATCAATCTCCTGTTCAGAGTCTTGGGGACCTGATCATGTCCCAAGAGCCCAACTCTAAGCACTGCTGGTTGGGGACCAGACCTTCAACACATGAACCTGTTGATAACATTCCGAATCTGAACCATAATAAATGTATTATTTAATATCTGAGCAATGTTTTGATTTTCAGGGTACCAGTCTTGCATTTATTTTGTAAAGTTAATTTCTAAATGGTATGTGTTTTTTGATGCTTCCTTGAGTAGAACTGTTCTCCTCCTCCTTTTTTTCGGGGCGAGGGGTACCAGGGATTGAACCCAGGGTCACTTAACCACTGAGCCAAATCATGAGCTCTTTTTTATTTTTTAGTTTCAGACAGAGTCTTATTTAGTTGCTTAGGTCTTTGATAAGTTGCTAAGGCTGACCTTGAACTTGTGATCCTACTGTGCCTTATAGTCTGCCAAGTGGCTGGGATTACAGGCATATGCCACCATGCCTGGCAGTAGAATTGTTCCTAGATTTGATTTTCAAATGGTCACTTATGTTAAAATGCAGTTGATTTTTAAAATAATTTTTTAATTTTATTTTTTAGTTGTAGTTGGACACAATACCTTTATTTTATTTTTACTTATTTTTATGTGATGCTGAGGATCAAACCCAGCTTCTCTAACATACTAGGCGAGTGCTCTACTGATGAGCCACAGCCCTGAAATGCAGTTGATTTTTACATTTTGATCTTCCATCTTATGACCTTACTGAACATGTTTATTAGATCAAGTGCATTGTTTTATAATACAAACATGAGCATGATTAAATGCAATCCTAATTAACACAATTATTAGGATTTCTTGACATACAGAATCCTGCATCTGATAATGAAGATGGTTTTATTTCTCCTCTAAAGGCATATACAGGATGTGTGCCTTTAGTAGTTCCCTTCCCTTCCCTTTTCATCCCCTGAACTGGAACCTTTCGTCTTTTCACTGACTAGAACCTTCTATGAGATAATATTGCTGAAATCACAAGGATAGCATTCAGCCTTTCAACATTAACTGCCAGATTTTTATTGCTACTCTTTATCATGTTAAAGAAATTCTTTTATATTCCTAGTTCTTGAGTTTTTAATCATGGTGTAAACAGGGGTGTTGAATTTTGCCAAATGCTTTCTCCTCCCATTGAGATGGTCACAAGTTTTTCCCTCTTTCATTTATATCACTAATTATATATTACATTGTTGACTTTTATATGTAAATCCAAACTTGCATTTCACTTGGTCATGGTGTATAATTCTCCATTTGTTGCTGGATATAGTTGACCAATAGTTTGTTAAGGACTTTTGCATCTATAATCATGAAGAAGACATGGTTTAGAATAGTTTTTCTTTTATTTATGTTTTTTTTTTATATTCTTACATTAACCCAAACATTTGCAATTTCTGGTTTTAAATAGTACTATTTCTTTTGAACCTGAAGGGCTTCTTTTTGCATTTCTTGTAAACTAGATCTGCTAGCAAAAATGTTTGTTTTGTTTCTCTGAGAACAGTTTTATTCCACCTATTTTGCCAAGAGCAGGTTGTGTAATTCTAGTTGAAAGTTTCCCCAGCACTTGGAATGTGCCCCTTTGTGGCCTTCTGGCTCTGTTACTTTGGATGAGAGAGTCACTAACCATTTAATTGTGTTTCTGCACATGATCTCTTGGTATCTCTTGCTGCTGTCAAGATTTTGTGGTCTTGGTTTTCGGTAACTGGATTTTGATATATACATTATTCTACTTTTAGGCTAGGTTTTGGGATCTATTGATTCATGACTTTCTTTAAATGAGGGAATCTTTTAGCCATTATTTCTTTAAAGTTTTCAGTCTCTCCCTCCTGTCCACCTGGGCTTCCTGTGACGTGGCAGTTGGCACAGCTGCTGCTGTCTCCTAGGTCTCAGGCTGGCTTCTCTTCCCCCTGTTTTCTCTGTGTTCTAGACAGGACCATTCTGATTGACAGTCTTCAGGTTCACCAGTGTAACTGTCTCACATCTGCCTTGAGCTCCTCTGTGAGTCTGCCACTGACTGCACTTGGCTTTCTTCTCTTCGTTTGTACATCCACTATCTGGCTTTCTACAAGATGGTTTCTTATTAGTGGTCCCACAGAGTGAGCCACATGTTCCATGTCTCTTATTTATTTATTTATTTATTTTGAAAACTGGACTTTATACAACATATTGTGGCAAATTTGAATTCAGATTTATTTACTTCCCAGAGCTTGTTATTGCTTCTATTTTGTGTTCCATTTCTTTAATAATTTAGTTGGACCAAGGTGTGGTGGTCCATGCCTGTAATGATTAGAATTGTGGTACCTTTGCTCTTTACAGTTGATGAAAATGTTGATGGTTTTGTTTTTCAATGGGGAAATTAGCCTGTAAGCCATCATGCATGATTTGGTTTCTCTATTAATTTAAAAGCATTATTTCTAAGACCAAGAAAATCATAATAACAATGACACCATTATAGTGACCTCACCCTTACTTAAAGCACTGCTTCGCTTTTACTGTTAAATTTTTTACTGTGTTTTGGGACAGGGCATCAGCAATATTCTTTTTTCCTATCTGTCTTTAGCTGCATGTGACCAAGTATCAAATTTCTCAACAGTTTTTAACTGCACAAATACCTAGCTCAAATATCTACATTTTATTTATGTGATTTGCAAATGATTTATTAATCTTTAGCTATTTTAGTATCATTAGGAACATATTAATGGGCTTCTGATAGAGAAGTTGAAATTACAATCAAAAGATTCAGAGGACTTCTGAGGCCGGGGAAGAGTTTCTATTTACAGTAAATTATAGAGCCCCTAATCCTAAACTCTTTATGCTAATCAAAATAACTTGAATTAGTTGTCATTTGTTTTTGTAAGTATTAGATTTCAACCTCCCTTTTGATTGATGCTCATATTAGTTTTCTTATTTCATAATGCCTTCTACAAGTTTCACATTTTTTTTGCATTGAATTTTTGAATAGTAATGAAGAGATAGTGTGTTTTTGTTATAATTTTACTAAATATCTTTCAGATTTTTAATTCAAAATTATAAATAATTCAGGAAACTCTCTCCTCTGAACCTTATGTTCATGCACAAATATCTTTATATTTCTTCTGTCTTGAAATTCTCCCTTCCTCCTTGCAAGCTCTGAACCTTACTCTTCTTTTTATAGCCATGCTACTTAGGAGGAACTTCTCTGTGCTGTGATTTGTACTTACTCTTTATTCCACTGAGATGGATTCAAACTTCACCTTTCCCCAGAACTACAACTTCTGATGTTACTAGTGGCTTTATTATTAGTAAATTCTACACACATGGATGAGTGAGGGAATGTGAATGCTATACTCACTTCCTGTGACTTTGTATTATCTCCTTGTCATTCAGTTTCTTAACACACTTTTGCTGTCTACTGAGAAAACTTACTTCTTGTGTTTGCATCTAACAATTCTATAATTTTAGCCCTCACCTTTAGGTATCTGACCCATTTTGGTCTAATTTTTACATATGATGTTGAAGGAAGGGTCCTGTCCCACTTTATTTATTTATGTATTTTTGATTTGGATATCAAGTGGCTACAACATCATTTGTAAAAGAGACTACTTGAAAATTAGTTCACTGCAACTTATGTATGAACTTGCGTTTCCATTCCATTGATGCTTATGTCTGTACCACCACCACACAGTTTTTATTGCTTATAGCTTTGTAGTTAAGTCTTGCAATAGGAAAACATATATTTATACAATTTTGCTTTTTATTTTAAAGATTGTTCTTGCTATTTCTGTTCTCCTAATTTTACTCAACTTTTTCATTTTTGTAAGTAGTCAGCTGGTATTATTTCCTTGATTGGAAAGATCAGTTTAGAAAAAAATGGTCATTGTAACAACCCTGAGTCTATCTAGGAGCATTGGATATCATTTCATTTATTTATATCTTTGAAGTTTGTTTTAATAGTGTTTTATAGTTTTCAATGTACACATCTTTTATTAGTTTACTCCCAAGTGTGTTATTGTTTTGATGTTATTGTAAATGGAATTGTTTTTCTAATTTCTATTTTTTGATTATTCATTGCTGGTCTAAAGACATGGAAGTTATTTTCATATATTGATCTTGTATTCTGTAGCCTTGCTAAAACTCATTGATTAGCTAGCTCTGTTAAGTGTGTGTGTGTGTGTGTGTGTGTGTGTGTGTGTGTGTGTGTGTGTGATTCCTTAGTATTTTCTGTATACAGATTTAAGCCATTTCTGAACAGAGTATTTTTTAGTTTCTCCTTTCCAGTCTGAATGCTGTTTGTTTTTGTGGTATAATTGTTCTGGCCAGAACCTCAAGTAAAATGGTAAGAGAAATCCTCTTGGTCTTATTCCTGACCTTATGATGAAATTTTTCATCGTTTGCCTTTTAAGTATGATTTTAACTGTGGGTTTTCGTTTTTGAGGGTTTTTAATATTAAAGAGTGATGGACTTTTCTTACAGTTGTTTTCTCTATCTGTTGAGATGATGTGGTTTTGTCCTTATTTTTGTGAACTTACATTAACTGATTTTCAAATGTTCAGTGAACTTTGTACTTATTAATTTGGTTCTTTTATATAATTTTTTTACTGGATTTGGCTTTGTATTTTTTGATAACTTTATCATCTATATTGATAAACGTTTGTAGTTTTTGTTTATTGCTGAGAGTCTCTCTGAATTGCTGAGGTGTCCTTGAACTTTGATCCTCCTGCCTCAGCCTCCCCAGTTGCTGGGGTTACAGGTGTCTGCCACCATGTCTGGCTTCCCCTTATCACTCCTGATGTTCAGGTAATACCCCATTTTTATTTCTCATTTCAGAAACCTGAGTCATCTTTTATTGTTGGTTAATATAGCTAAAAGTTTATTATTTTATTAATCTTATATACAAGTCAACTTTTGAGTTTTTTTATTTTACTCTCATTTTTGTTTATTCTGCTCTAATTTTTATTATTTTTTCTTATTTTGTGTTTGTTTTTATTTCATATTTAGTAAAGGTGAAAGCTTAGGTTATTGATTTGAAATCTTGTATTTTTAACATGATCATTTAAAGCTATAAATTTCCTTCATAGTACTGCTTTAGATACCATTATATGTCTTAATATGCTCTGTTTTCATTAGTATTTGTCTCAGAATATTTTCTAATTTTTCTTTTCATTTCTAGTTTGATCTAATGATTATTAAGTTACTTTTAATTAAGTTCTTTACGAGGATGGAAATCCTTGCTTGTTGTTAGTGGTAGATTTTTTCTCACCCTTTCACTTTCAGTCTGTGGATGTCTTTTCCTGTGAGATGAATCTCTTGAAGCCAACATACTGTTGGATCTTTTTTAAAATTACGTTCTTTAATTTCTTCATATTTGTGAATTCCCCAAAATTCTTTCTTCAGTGGATTCTAATTTATTCCATATCAGCAGAAAATATACTTTGAATGATTTTAGACCTTTGAAAATTATTGAGGCCTATGAGATGTCCTGGCTTAGAGTCTTTTTTTGGAACTATTCCATTTGTACTTAAGCGCATGCTTCATCTGTGGGCACAGTGTTTTATCCACTGTGTTTTCAAACCTGTGTTATTTGTACTCACTAATACTAGATTAATCTTTACAGTTTACAAACCTAAATATGCAACTTACCTCCTTAAAATCATTAAGGACTTCTCAGTACCCTTCTGAACGTTCCAAGTTGCCTCTAAATCGACTTAAAGCTTCATATGATTTTGTGTCTGCTCTCCCTTTCCCTTGAGTGTTTTCATATTTCATCCAAATAGTACTCACAACACTCTTGATTCCCTGTGTTTATGTTGCTTGAGCCTTTAATCATTTTGTCCTCTGCTGTGGCCCTTCTGGCTTAGTCCTCACTCATCTGAGATAACACCTCTTGTAGAGAGCCCACTCTTCTAGCAACAGCTGCCTTCAGTGAGTTTTCTTTTTCAACTTTTGGCCCTGACCTTCCTTTATTGTAAAACACAGAGACAATTTGACATATTTGTACATGTTACTGTTGGCTATTGTGTGGAGTGAGGGCGGTCAGGAAGAGGGAGGGATCAAGGCTGACTCCCATTGAGCATTTGATAGTCTTGTAAGGTGAAATCAAAGTGCAGGTTTTCAGGAATAAGATTATGTATCACATTTTCAAAATGCGGACTCTCGCAGCTCCTGCAGAATCCCAGGGGAAATGTACAAAGGAATGTGCACCAGAGAAGCTGCCATGTTGGGTGTGTCTGTCTCCTTTGCTGGAGTGAGTTCCTTGGCTGTAGGACAGGCTGACTCCTCTTTCTTTTCCTGTCCCCGAGGCACCTCAGATGCTCACTGACTACTAGTGGAGTTGAGCTGTAAGGAGCAGAGCCACCAGACAGTGATTTGGGTGCTTTCACCTTATCCTGGGCGTTTCACCGAGGGAAAGGAAAGACGGTTGATTGCAGGAGATTTTAGCTTGGGGAAAAGTACTGTGTTTTTCTCTTTTCCCTTCTTAGAGAAATTCATTAATATGTTTTAATTTTAAGAAATTCATATCTTGTTTTGTGAATTCAACTATTTTCCCAATCTTTTTTTTTTTTTATATTTTTCACTATTTGCACTAAGCACTTTAGAATTTTTAACATGAGACAGATTATGCTGTCTTCTCTTTCCTGTGTAGGACTACAATGATGAAATCAGACAAGCCCAGCTCCAGGAATTAACATATTTGAATGGTGGTTCAGAAAATGCAGATGTCCCAGTGGTTAGGGGGAAACCCACCCTACGGACAAGAGGTGTGCCAGCTCCAGCGATTACCAGGTAGGTGTTTATTAATTGGCGTACTTTTCCTTAAGGTTTGCGAGCCAAGGCAACAGTTTCAACGTGTTTTATCTTAGTAGCCAGAAACCCCTCTATCAGTATATCTGTAGGAAGCCACTGTTCAGACTTTGAAAGTCACAAGCAGGGAATTCACCTTGGAGGGAGATATTCCTAGGCTTAACTGTTATCACCTTGTTACTCACTCTAAGGTTCATTCTTTAAAACGACAGTTTTTTGATGTGTAAGTAATATCATCGATATGCAGGTTGGAGCCATGGCTCCTTGTGCCTTGCCCTGATCCTCCCCCTTCCGGAGCCTAGTTCTTGGACACACCTCCAGTACTCAGACATGTCCAGCATCCAGTGGGTGTCCTAAGGTCTGTTGTCAGTTTGCTCTTTACAAGTGCTGTAGCATGTGCGAAATCCTTGGGCTGGACCAGACACACATGTATTGATTGCTTGTTTGTTTGTTATTTCTGTCTTTGTTTTGTGATTACATTTGTTTGTTTGTTTGTTTTGATACCAGGGATTGAACCCAGGGTCACTTAGCCACTCAATCACATCCCCAGCCTCCCTACTCCTTTTTAAAATTGTTTTTTATTTTTAAATTTTGAGACAGGGTCTTGTTAAGTTGCTTAAGGCCCCACTAGGTTGCTGAGGGTGGCCTTGAATTTGTAAACTTCTAGCCTCACTCCCAAGATGCTAGGATTACAGGTATATGCCACTATACCCGGCTATGATTACTTCTAAGAGGAAATGTTTTAAAGAGAATCAAAAATTTGATATGACTTTCTCAATTTCATTTGGAAATTACTTTTAGTTTTCCCGTTTTTGTTCTGAAAGAAATTAGTGGAATAAAGAAATAGAGTTTTCTTTTAATCATGTGACTATATAGATTTTTTTTCAGGTAGAAGTTTGGATAAAACTATTAAATATATTGTTCTTATAAATCTCCAAGTTCCTCTGGGAGAACAAGAAGTTCCTTCCTCTATTGAGAGTTGCCAGCTGTAGCAATGTCGGAGCAGGTGTGTGCTGCTATGATATCAAGTCAGCAATAGGCCTGGAGCCTGTGGGGTTTCTGTGTCAAAAAGAGGTTTAATTGATGATTTCATGGAATGGTACACGTAGGTACTCGGCAAACCCTAACTGCCTCTTTAATTTCTATTTTTTTCAACATTAAATTTACCTAAAATCATAAGAAATTACTTATGTACTATATTAGTTTATTGCTAGCTGCTATGACAAATTACCACAAATTTGTTGACTGAAAATAAAAAATACAAAAATGTATTCTCTTGTAGCTATGGAAGCCACATGGCTAAAACCAGTTATCATTTGTTCAAAGGCAGGGTGTTGGCAGGGCTGTGTTCCCTCTAGAGGCTCTGAGGGCAAGTTCTTTTCTTGCTCCTTCAATTTCTGGTGACCCCAGCTTGCCTGGATCTGTGGCCACATCACAATGACCCCTCCCACTTCTTCACACTGCCTTCTCTTTCCTGACCTCCCTCTGCTGATTTTATAGGATTCATGTGGTTATATAGGGTAGTCCCAGGCAGGATAATGCAGGGAGACCTCTATCTCAAGATCCTTCTTCAGCTGCAAGGGCCCTTTTTCTGATTCAGGTAACCTGTGCAGGTCACCAGGATTGGGATCACATAGTGGTTAATTGCCTGATATTATTTAGCATACAGGTTTGACTCCTTAGTCTCAACTTTGTTATGATGGAAGCTTGCACGTTTTCCCAAAATACATAATGTGTCAAATAATATATTTAAACATTCTCAACGTCTGAAGACTTGTGCCTTCCCTCTGCCACTGTCTTTGCTTGTTTGTCCAGGTGCGGAGCATGTGGTTTGTGCTCATGGGCTAGGAGCTTTCCCTTTTGGAGTGGCACACACATAACGCCCTGCCAAGCAGCTGTCTCTGCATCCTTGCGAGGTAGTCAGACTCACATCATTCATCGTATTCAAATCTTCTCAAAAGAGAACAGAAAATACATGTAGAAGCGTACAAAGAGACAGCCTTCCAGACTTGACACTTACACATGCCAGCATTCTTTTCTTTTTATTGACATAGGAAGGTAGGCAGGTAGGTAGGTAGGTACAGAGATAGTCTCTTAGCATAGAACTCCTCAGTCCGTGACTGACCACATTTACAGTGGTGATCCCATTAGACTGTAATGCAGCTGGAAAAAGCCTGGAGCTATCAATGTAGTAGCCATGGTAACAGGATAATGTGACTCACTGCTCATCTGTCTGTGGCAGTGCTGATCTAAACAACCTTATTGCATTGCCAGTTCTACACCACGGAGGCTTGTTGTAGGCCCTACCATCTAGGTTCGTGTGAGTGCACTCGTCAGTGTGTAGACACTGACACAACCCTCTACACATGAATTCCTCAGAATGCATCTGTCATTAAGTGATGTGACTGTATGTAGTTGGGTAGATGTTTCTATATCTAAGGGTCTCTATAGAAGCTCTCATTTTCATGATGTGTAGCTTGTTTAAGTAAGTAGTAAAAATGTTAAAAATGTTCTGTGGCCAGGCACAGTGGTGCACAGCTGTTACCCAGCAATTTGGGAGACTGAGGCAGGAGGATCTCAGGTTTGAGGTGCGATTGGGCAACTTGGTGAGATCCTCAGCAACTTGGTGAGACTCTCAAAATAAAGGAACAAAAAGGCTTGAAGATGTAGCTCAGCAGCAGTAAACTGTCCCTGAGTTCAAGCTCAAGTACCAAAAAAATTAAAATTAAAAATAATCTGTTTCAATATTTATATCTCTCTGTGTTTATGTACATATACAGTAAAATCAACCAGTGTTACTTGTCTCACTTGGGTTGTTTTTGTCCATTCCTTTTTCAAAATGCAAGTGCAGAGTGGTCTCCTCACCAGAGTTGCCGTGGAGTGTGTCAGTCTCAGGCAACCTCTGTGCCTGAAGACAGGTCCTAAGTTAGTTGTCACTTTCTGTCAAGTTGAAATATCAAGAGCTGACGCCACAAGAGCTTTTTTCATTTTGGAATGCAAGCCTGGGGAAAGGCCTTTCACCTGGCCACGTGGGAAACCATTTCCTTGATGGTGGCCTTACCTTGCTTGTGTTTAAAGCTGCTAAAATTCCTGATGAGACTCGTTTCACCTTCACGTCTCAGACCCTGGTTTTCAGTTCATGGGGTGCTGGTGGGTAGAGCTGGCCTTAAAGGGGTTCGCGTACTTAAGACACCCCACATTTGCTTGAAACCATGTGGCTGGTGCTCTCGGCACCCTCAGGACACACTCTGTGCTTCCATTTCCATGTGATTCTGGTCTTCCTTGGTTCCAAACATTTTACATTCCCTGTTTTTAAAGTTTATTTTCTTAAAAGGGACATTTAAAGCCCCTGTGTATCTTTTTGCTCAAAATCTGTCTCCAAGTCACTCTTTGTTGATTATTTTGCCCTGTTTCCTGTGCTTCCAACCCACTCTGGGCTCCAAGCTCTGCCTCAGGAAGCTTGTGCTGCACCCTCACAGGTCTCTGTTTACCTGATTTCTTTTGTCTGCAATTGTGTTTCTTCCCTCTGCTCCTCTCAAGTGTTTAAATCCTACTTACCTTTTCTTCCCGACCTGGAACTTACCTTTACAAGCGCAGAGCACCTGCTATGGGTTATGCCTTTTTCTAAGCATTTCAGAGGTGTTAGCTCCTTAGGCCTCCTGATGATCTTTGAGGTGGCATGGGTTTGCTGCCACCACCAGACAAGGAAAGGGAGGCCAGAGAGGTCAGTTGTTTGCCAGAGGTCACACAGCTTGTGATTGACAGAGACAGCCTCTATGCGAGGCCCTCTGGTTCCACAGTCCAACCTGCTCCCCTGGGTGTGATCCTTCCCTTGTGTTTTTCGCCTGGAGGAAAATACTTTTCCTCCCTCCATTCTCCCACCACTTTTCCTGTAGAGCTTTGATTCTGGCACTGTTGTTATGTTTTCATTATGACACATGTTAATGCCAACTGTGATGAAGAGGAAATCACGTGTGTAACTTGCAAAAATGTGGTCCATCCTATAGAATAAGAAAATAAAATAAGTTGATGTTGAAATCAGGGTAGAAAATCTCACAGACTCCTGGGGTTAGTACGGGTTGTAACATTCTGTAGAATTTGTGGACTGGTCTTTAGTTTATACTTTGTATTTCCTGTGGCCAAAGCTGGGTACAAAGTTCATGGTACCTAAATGTCAAAAACATTGACAATAGAGAAACAAACAAATAACAAACATACACCATCAAAGCCTAGCACTTTCAAATCCTGAGATGTATGAAGAATCTTCTGGAGATTCTCATAAACGAGTCTTCCTATGACTTAAAATTGCTGGAGGTGGGGGAAGTACTGGAGTTTACCAATGAGCTGTATCCCCTGCTGTTTTTATTTTTTGTTTTGAGACAGGATTGCCAAGTTGCTTAGGGCCTTGCTAAGTTGCTGAGGCTGACCTTGAACTTGCAATCCTCCTGTCTCAGCCTGCCAAGTTGCTGGGATTATGGGTTTGCACCCCTGCACCAGACTTTTAAATATTATTTTCAATAAAGTTCTTCATATCCACTTCCTCATTAAGTCATTTTGATTTTACATGTAAAATAAACCTCGATTTTATTTTTCTGTAATCACCTTTGCCAACCTTCCTAATCTAACCTACACTAGTTCTCTATTTTTTATTTACAGTCATAATGACCATTTCATATTAAATTTGATTATATCTTTCCTCACTTAAAATCTGAGGACAATTTTAAATGTCCTCATGTTCCAGCTATGAGAAATTTCACATTTTCTGGTATGTACTTGAATGATCAGGCCGCTCTTCTCCCTCCCCATGTCTCATTCCACTTTTTTACTCTCCTTGCTCCGGCCACGCTGGTCTCCTCCTGTTCTGTAAACAGGCCCTGCTCACTCTTCCCACGTCTTTGCTCTCTCTTCCTTCTCCCTGGCAGGCTTGCTTGCCAGTGGTCTGGCTCCCTTCTCAGCACCGCGTTCCCTTGTTAAGGAAGGCTTTGGTGGTCTGCAGTAGCAGTAGCCGTCTCAGCACCCTGTCTCAGTCACTTTGTAGCATTTTGTTCACTTGGGTTATTCCTTATTAAAATGTTAATCTGCAAAAGCCACTGTGTCCCTCAGACCTGGCATGTGATAATCACTTAGTAAATGAGAAAATACAGTAGCACTTTTCTGTACGCTTTCTGATCAAGTGTTGGCCATTTTAAACATCCTTTCGTTAGTGCAGTTCTTGTTCTGTTTATGACCGATTGCCTGGGCATGGGCCTTGTGGGAGTGTTCATGTAGATGTTGCTGCTTGGGAATTTCGTGGTGGAATGTTTTTACTGCATGCAGTCTTCACGAGTGGGCCCACCGTTCATTTTAGGATGTCTTTCTGATTCAGGGTGTAAACAATTGAAAATTAAATCCCACAGTGAAAGGTAACACAAGTCTCTAGTGAAACCTTCTCACTTGAGTTCCAAATAAGAGCACTGAACTTCTGCCTCAGTATAGGCCACCAGGAGGCTTCTTTGCCCACTGCGTGCCTGGCAGTGCCTCCTGACTCCTTCCCTGCTCCAGCACGCAGATGGGATGGAGTGCCCTCCGTGCAGCCACTGGGCAGTGTCACAGGCTTCCCCCGCAGGCCGTGCTGCCCTGTGCTCTCCTGCTTGTGTGGCGATTGGCACCAGGTGATTTTGCATCCTCAGGGATGCTCCACTGGTTGGTTTTGTGTTCTCCCTGGTGTAACTGTGGCATATATCTTGGCCCCTGGCTCTGCTACCTGTTTTCATGCAGTTTGAAAATCTCAGTTTCCTTGTCCAGAGATAAGCAAGGTGAGGCTTACCTCGTGTTAGAGTGACATTTGGGTCTTGGCATGACATCAAACTGAAGTCATGGCCTCCCTAGAAGTCACAGTGGCCTGCTCTTTCTTGATCCAGAGTCTGTGTCTCCATCTCTTTGATGTGACCATGTTGTGCTGGATTGCCCAAGTAGCTGGATTTCCTTTGGATGGATATTTGCTTCTTATTTCTTTTGGTTCTTTCTTTTCTATGATTTCCTTTTTACCTTTTATGGAAATATAGAACGATAATTTGTTTCATCCATGAACATATGTGAAAAATAGACTCTCAGAAAATATAGTAAGTGCTGCTAATCTGACCTCTCATTTGCAGGGGAAGAGGAGGAGTCACCGGCCGGCCAGTTGGTGTTGGTGTGCCGCGCGGCACTCCAGCTCCCAGAGGGGTGCTGTCTACCCGGGGGCCAGTGAATCGCGGAAGAGGCCTTCTCACTCCCAGAGCAAGAGGGGTGCCCCCCACTGGGTACAGACCTCCACCACCACCCCCGACACAAGAGACCTACGGAGAGTATGTGAGTGGCAGTGTTAAATGACAGCTTTGTTGGTCAGGATGACTCGGTCTAGACATAGCTCTGGATGGCATAGCTAAGTGGAGACCCTCACCTGATTTAGTTCCTGAATACTGTGCTTTAGTGCAGCAAACATGCATGGAGGCTGAGTAGGCCCCTGGTACCAGAGACACAGACACAGCCTGGCCTGTGCCTCAGCCTGAGCCTGGGAAGGAACTGAGTGTGGGAGCTGCAGCACTTGTGTCTAGCAGAGGGGTCCTCAGCCCTGACCTAAGTTCAGGGTAAAAGGCCTTCCTATTCCACGTGAATGTGCCTCTGAACAGGTCAGTCATTAGAAAGAATATTGCCCAAAGACTCTGCAATGGTCCTGCCCTCAGGTCTCCCTTAGGTGTCTGCTAGGTAGAGACTCAGTTGTTTTCCATGAAGAAAACAAAAATTCCCTATTTTTAAAATTGATGCAAATCATTTTTTTAACTCATTTATCTGTTAATTCTTTATTGTAGTTCATAGCCTTAACATAAGAGAAAAAAATATAACCATGAAAACATATATCTACGAAAAGCAAGGAAACAGGAAAGACTCTTTTTGGTACTGGACATGAAACTCAGGTTCACATAACCAAGGAGCCACGTCCCCACCCTTTTTATTTTTTATTTTGAGACAGGGTCTTGTTGAGTTGTCTGAGCTGACCTCTAACTTGCAATCTTGCCTCAGCCTCCCCAGGAGCTGGGATTACAAACATGAGCCACCATGCCTAATAGGAATTCTTAAAGAATATACACCCCTTGGGATTCTTATTGTAGCATCCTAATTTCTCATACATACATGGAAAACAGGAACTAGATGGATGGCTGGTATTGTTAATTGAAGTTATTGAAGGGAGACGCTGAGAACTGGGGTCACTGAGAACCAAGTCGTGATAGTAACAGGCAAGATCTGGCAGATTCTCCATTTTGACTCTTTGTAGATCTCTTCCTAGGTCCTTAGCACCTTTTACATGGTTTCCAGAAAGTTTTGGTAATTCTCTGGCCTCCAACAACCTCTTGAGCTTTATCTGTAACCAATCTGTCTTGCACACACTGAAGGTATTATAATTCCCCAAACATGCTATGTCCTCCTAGGCCTCCAGAACTGGCTCATGCTGCCTGCTCAGCCTGGAAGAAATTCTCCTAGGACTGGGGATGTGGCTCAAGCAGTAGCGCGCTCGCCTGGCATGTGTGGGGCGCTGGGTTCGATCCCCAGCACCACATAAAAATAAAAAATAAAGATGTTGTGTCCACCGGAAATTAAAAAAATAAATATTAAAAAATTTTCTCTCTCTCTAAAAAAAAAAAAAAAAAAAAAAAATTCTGACTGTCTCTTTCTCCTTCTAGACTTAGGCCAGCTGTTGCTAGAGAAATTCAAAAGTGGTAGTAGCTAGCCTACTAGGCATTACGACGGTTATTACATGATGTCTCTCTCATACCTAGACTGAACTTCTGGTAGTGCAGGGGTGGGTAGCTTTTATTTCTTTATACTTAACAGACATACTGAGAGCTCAAGTGACTTATATTTAACAAAGTCTGTAATACACAGTTTCATCATTTTGTTATTCAGTTGCAGAAGAATGGGGTCCCTAACTCTTCTCTTTTTATATCGTAGAGTTGAACATGTTCTTCCTAATATTCTTATCTGACAGTAATCATATTTCACATTTTCCCCCAGATTGTGAGTTTCCAAAAGCAGTAAGTGCTTTTGATAGAGGGCTGCTGCTCTCCGAGCCCCTCAGGCAGACCCGTTGTCATCTTGGCTTGGCTGTTTCTTCCTACAGGGCAACTTCCTGGTAGCAGATAGAAGTGTAGCAGGTAGTAGAAGTGTCTGCAAACCAGACTGGGCCACATTTTGCCATGAATTTGGTGTGAGGCAATTTGATTGAACACGTGGCTTCGTACTTCACGTATTGCAGAAGGAGTAGCGTTGCCTTCTTTACATGGATTAACTGACCCTCCTACTCAGTGAGGACTCCTGGATGTCTCATATTCCCTGTCTTAGCCTCTGCACTCAGTTTATAAATAAATTAAATGAATAAATTCAAAGTTTTATTGTCCAGGAAAGGAAAAGCAAATGAAACTCAAAAGATTTGGTTTTGCTGTTGATTTAAAATATCTAAGATTTTTAAATATTTGGTTTTTTATTTGCAGTATTAGGGACTGCACTCAGGGAATTGGGCATACTAGGCAAATTCTCTACCACTGAGCCACATCCCCAGGTTTTTTCATTTTATTTTAAGACAGGTCTGGATGAGTTGCTCAGGTTGGCCGTGAACTTGTATCCTCCTGCCCCAGCCTCCTGAATAGTTAGGATGACAGGCTTACACTACCATGCCTGATGGTTTTTTTGTCCATTTATTGATTTATTTTTGATAAATAATAGGAAAGACCTTGAAAAAATTGAATTGCAAAATATTCTCCTGAGTTGCTGTGCTCCCCTTCCCATCTGCTGCCAGGGAGTTGCCCTGAGAAGAGGACTTGAGCTGAGCAGACAAAGAGCTCTGCACAGGAAATCCTCATGTCTGACCCTTCTAGGCACTGATTGTCAGTGCAACTGCAATTTCAGCCTGGGGCCAGCATTCTTGCTGCCCCACCTTGGTGTCCTTGACATAGGCCGCCATATGTGTCACCCCTCCTTACCTTGATTTGGCTGGTCTGCAGCAGGGGCAGTTTCACAAGCTCACACGACTGACAGTGTTTGCCGCACTTTAAACCATGGTGTTCACTTTCCATGCGTGCTTTAGGTGGCATTATGGGACACAGAAGGCAGACACTATCACAGCCCTCACTGGTGGGTGAACCTCTGCCACGGGGGTTCTGATGGTGAACATTATCTCTGATGCACTCAGGGTAGTGCCTGGTATTCCTGAGAACGCTTTTTGAGATTAATATCCAAGAAGAAGGGTTTTCACCATTCAGTCTAGCGTTTTGTCAGCCCTCTTGCACAGTTGTGAAAGCTTCAAGAGCTTTCTTAGGAACTTGTATCTTAGGAACTTGTGTCAGGAGTAGACAGACCCCTCACCCCACTCACAGTTGCCTGCCCTCAGCAACATCGTTTGTCCCCTGTACCCTGCTGGCTTCATCTTCCTCTCCTGACCAAACTTTGTTAGGATTTCTTCCTCCCAGCCCCTCTAAGACGGCTTCTAAGTCTCTGGCATACCTCCAGACATTGGTCTAAACTGTTTGAACTCCTGGAGGTACCGACACAACACACTTAGCTTTGCCACCTGGGAAGGTGGACGAGGGGCAGGAATAAGACTTAGAAAAGTATTTATTTTGTTGCTATGTTTTCTGTGGATAGGGTGGGTATGTAAAAAGATACCAATTTGGAAAGCCAAGGAACCTAGCAAGGCATGGTGGCACACACCTGTAATCCCAGCAAGACAGGAGGCTGAGGCAGGAGGATCACAAATTTGAGGGCAGCCTCAGCAATTTAATGAGACCCTGTCTCAAAATATAAAATAAAAAAGGGATAGGGGTGCACCCAGTGGTTAAGTGCCCCAGGGTCCAATCCCCAGTACCAAGAGAAAACAAAAGGATCCTGTGACACAAAGAAGTGACTGTACCAAGTGGTTGGCAATAAAAGAGAATAAAATCATGGCATTTGCAGGGAAATGGATGGCGCTGGA